TGAATGGAGTGAAATCCAGCTGGTGACCCGTCACCGGTGGTGTTCCCCAGGGGTCGGTGTTGGGGCCCATCTTCTGATATCTTTACTGATGATTTGGATAAGGAATTGAGTGCACCCTCAGGAACTTTGTAGATGACACCAAGTTGGGGAGAAGTGTCGATCTGCCAGAGAGTATGAAGGCCCCTCAGAATGACCTGGACAGGATGGATCAATGGGCAGAGGCCAATGGGATGAGGTTCAACTTGGCTAAGTGAATCCTCATGTAACACTACAGGCTTGTGACAGAGTGTCTGGAAAGCTGTGCAGAGGAAAAAGTTCTGGGGGTGTTCGTTGATGCTCACCTGACCATGAGCCAGCAGTCTGCCCAGGTGGCCAAGAAGGCCAATGGCATCCTGCCTTGTGTCAGGAATAGCGCAGCCAGCAGGACCAGGGAGGTGATCATCCCCCTGTACTCGGCTCTGCTGAGGCTGCACCTTGAGTACTGTGTTCAGTTTGGGGCCCCTCACTACAAGAAGGACATTGAGGCCCTGCAACATATCCAGAGAAGGGCTACAAAGCTGGTGAAGGGTCTGGAACAAATTCTAATGAGGAGCAGCTGAGGGAACTGGGTTGTTTTGTCTGCAGAAGAGGAGGCTCAGGGGAGACCTTATTGCTCTCTCCAGCTACCAAAAGGAAGTTGTGGGGAGTTGGGGGTCAGCCTCTTCTTGCAGATAACTACTGATAGGATTAGAGGGAATGGCCTCAGGTTGCTCCATTAGTTTTAGTTTGGAAATTAGAAGACATTTCTTCTCAGAAAGAGTAGTCAGGCATTGGAATGGGTTGCCTAGGGAAGTGGTGGTGTCACCGTCCTTGGGGGGTTTTTAAAGAGAGGTTGGACCTGGCACTTAGGGACATGATTTAGTGGGTGACATTGGTAGTAGGGGCATGGTTGGACCAGATGACCTTGGAGGTCTCTCCCACCATAATGATTCTATGATTCTATTTTGCCCAGTTGCTGTATGAGCTTCAGGGAGTTAGAAACTTGTCCAATCTCCCAGAACTGTCATGAACTCCTTTACAGTATTTATCTTTCTATGGTCTGTTTTTCTAAGGCTTTTCTTGTGCAGATAGCCCTAATGGAAAGTAGATCCCCTTAGATGCAGCATGGTCATGGCAGGCATTTCTTCTGCACTATGGGCCTGTGTCTTGGTTGTGGAGAAACTTTCGCAAGAGGTCCACCAACTCAAAGAGCATATACCTTCCTCCCTCTATGTGTACGAACCAGTACCTCAGCTGTTAGGAGTAAGCATGCCTCTGCTCAAGAAAGGGGATATGGTGGGTCCACACAACATACCACTCTGTGGTTTTACCCACGTGACCATGAAGGAGACATGAGAAAATGGGATGGGAAATCTACCTCAACCCTAGAGGCATGGGTATGTAAGTTACAAGGAAAAAACAATTGCAAAAGGGGAGGGGGGGGGTGGGAGGGGTGGGAAGGAACCTTCCAGAAAAATTGCTGCTCCAATTTCCATGAATACTCCGACCAGAACTAGAGGTGCTCTGCCTCCAATCGGGTGGATGGACAACTGAGTTTATTCGACTGTCTGGGTTTGATGGCCTGACACATCAGACCCACGGAAGTACGAGGCTCTAGTGGACACCAGCGCACAGTGTACTGTAATGCCATCCAGCTACAAAGGAGCAGAACTCATTTTTATTTCTGGAGTGACAGGGGAATCCTGACAGTTAGCTCTATTGGAGGCTGAATAATCTGCCGTTAAAGATAACAAAAAATGTTTTTATAAATTTTTATAAATACATCAACACAAAAAGGAGGACTAAGGAGAATCTCCATCCTTTACTGGATGAAGGGGGAAACTTAGTGACAAGAGAAGAGGAAAAGGCTGAGGTGCTCAATGCCTTCTTTGCCACAGTCTTTAGTGGCAATACCGGTTGTTCTCTGGATACCCAGTACCCTGAGCTGGTGGAAGGGGATGGGGAGCAGGATGTGGCCCTCACCATCCACGAAGAACTGGTTGGTGACCTGCTACGGCACTTGGATGTGCACAAGTCGATGGGGCCGGATGGGATCCACCCAAGGGTACTGAGAGAACTGGCAGAGGAGCTGGCCAAGCCACTATCCATCATTTATCAGCAGTCCTGGCTATCGGGGGAGGTCCCAGTTGACTGGCGGCTAGCAAACGTGACGCCCATCTACAAGAAGGGCCGGAGGGCAGACCCAGGAAACTACAGGCCTGTCAGTTGGACCTCAGTACCAGGGAAGCTCATGGAGCAGATCCTCTTGAGAGTCATCATGAGGCACTTGAAGGGCAAGCAGGCGATCAGGCCCAGTCAGCATGGGTTTATGAAAGGCAGATCCTGCTTGACGAACCTGATCTCCTTCTATGACAAAGTGACGTGCTTATTGGATGAGGGAAAGGCTGTGGATGTGGTCTACCTTGACTTCAGCAAGGCATTTGACACCATCTCCCACAGCATTCTCCTCAAGAAACTGGCTGCTCTTGGCTTGGACTGGCACATGCTTCGTTGGGTTAGAAACTGGCTGGATAGCCGGGCCCAAAGAGTCGTGGTGAATGGAGTCAAGTCCAGTTGGAGGCCAGTCACTAGTAGCGTCCCCCAGGGCTCGGTGCTGGGGCCGGTCCTCTTTAATATCTTCATCAATGATCTGGACGAGGGCATTGAGTGCACCCTCAGTGAGTTTGCAGATGACACCAAGTTAGGTGCGTGTATCGATCTGCTCGAGGGTAGGAAAGCTCTGCAGGAGGATCTGGATAGGCTGCACCGATGGGCTGAGGTCAACTGCATGAAGTTCAGCAAGGCCAAGTGCCGGGTCCTGCACCTGCGGCGCAATAATCCCAAGCAGAGCTACAGGCTGGGAGATGAGTGGTTGGAGAGCTGCCAGGCAGAGAAGGACCTGGGAGTGATGGTGGACAGTCGGCTGAATATGAGCCAGCAGTGTGCTCAGGTGGCCAAGAAGGCCAACGGCATCCTGGCTTGTATCAGAAACAGCGTGACCAGCAGGGCTAGGGAGGTGATCGTCCCCCTGTACTCGGTTCTGGTGAGGCCGCACCTCGAGTACTGTGTTCGGTTTTGGGTCCCTCGCTACAAGAAGGACATGGAGGTGCTTGAGTGACTCCAGAGAAGGGCGACGAAGCTGGTGAGGGGCCTGGAGAACAAGTCCTACGAGGAGCGGCTGAGGGAGCTTGGGTTGTTCAGCCTGGAGAAAAGGAGGCTCAGGGGTGACCTTATCACTCTCTACAGATACCTTAAAGGAGGCTGTAGTGAGGTGTGGGTTGGCCTGTTCTCCCACGTACCTGGTGGCAGGACGAGGGGGAATGGGCTTAAGTTGCGCCAGGGGAGGTTTAGGTTAGATGTTAGGAAGAACTTCTTTACTGAAAGGGTTGTTAGACACTGGAACAGGCTGCCCAGGGAGGTGGTGGAGTCACCATTTCTGGAAGTCTTTAAAAGACGTTTAGATGTAGAGCTTAGGGATATGGTTTAGTGGGGACTGTTAGTGTTAGGTTAGAGGTTGGACTCGATGATCTTGAGGTCTCTTCCAACCTAGAAATTCTCTGATTCTGTGATTCTGTGATTCTGAAGTGCAGCCTCTTTAAGACAGTGAGATTAAACAGCTCTTCGCCTTGCCCGGTCTCTTGGAGGACCCTTCTGTTGTGGGGTTGCTGAGGGTCAAAGAGCAGCAGATGCTGATCACTACCCCAGTGGTGCACAGGGAGCAATATTGCACTAACTAAGACTCCATGATTAACATTCATGAGCTGGTTTATTGACTGGAGAGACAAGAAGGGATCAGCAAGCCTTGCTCACCCTTTAATAGTCCCATATGGCTAGTGTGAATTCTTGACAAAAGTGGAGACTAACAGTGGACTATAGTGGCCTGAATGAAATCATGCAACTACTGAGTGCTGAAGTGCTGGACGTGGTAGAACTCCAATATGAACTAGAATCAAAGCGAGATAAGAGGCATGCCACGACTGATATCACTAATGTGTTTTTGTCAATCCCTTTAGCAGCAGAGTGCAGTCCACAATGACACAGGACATGGGTGAATGCAGACAGGCACACTCAGCATTCATACAACTACAAACAGCAGCAGCAGCAGCATTCTCCTGATTGCCTCTCTGGCTGAGCAAGATGGAGGCCCATTAGTGGGAAATATAAAGTGCTTGTGTGCGCAAATGCATGTTCATGTGCATGTGTGCAAGGTAGATCCCTCCAGCAGCTGGGATCAGACACAACCTGCCCAGGACAAGTTCCTGGCTCCCAGTCTGCTCTGCTGAAGCCATTTGGACATATGAGCCCCCGTGAGCGCAGCCCCACTGTAGCTGCTTGCACACACCACCCCAATCTAACACACACTTCCAAAGACACAGGCACACACACATTAAGTCCACACACTCCCATGTCTCCTGTTGCTGACTACAATGACACATGGGCCCTCTGATGCCCTGGTTCTAGTCCAGCTGCTGCGCTTACCCCTATGTACAACCACCAGGTGACCTACAGCCCTTGGCAACAATCCCATTAGTCCAAATGTTGATGCGGAGAGCTGCTGCCAGTGATGCATCTGGATGGGTTTCTGCCTGGACAGTGGGGTGACAGCCCTCCCAAGGCAGTCCTGGAAGGAGCTGGGCAAGACCTTGGTTCCACAGGAGCCAGTGACTTGGATTCTCACCTGCCATTGTGCTTTGTGCTCTTCTGGGCTCATGGAGATGGGTCCTTGATGAGCTGAGGGCTCTCCTGTGATGGGCCTGGAAGCAGTCAGAGCAGGGCATGAACCGAATTATTCATCCTGCCATCACTTCCTTGGCCCTTCATTTTGTGTACAGATGTGCTTTTTATCACACAGCCTAACACAGTCCAGCAAGACCATAAACTTCTGGAGGCATCTGCATGTGGAGGTCACATACATACAGAGGTGATACTACATAAGATATGACAGCAGAGAACTCAAATTGCTCTTCAGAAATGCATCACGATTAGGGGAAAAGCTGTGCTGTTGTACGGGCCATGACTTCCTTCAGGGCCAGCATCACGGCCTTGTTTCTAAGACTGTAGATGAATGGGTTTAAGAATGGGTACAGGACAGTGTTCAGCAAAGCTACAATGCTGTTGGTCTCCAAAGAAACATGTCCTGAGGAGGGTGCGTAGAGAGCAATGCAGCTTCCATAGGCAATGGCCAAGGTGGTGAGATGGGAAGAGCATGTAGAAAAAGCTTTTCTCCTTGCAGAGGCTGCTGGCATTTGCAGAATACAGAATAAGATGCACGTGTAAGATGCCAGAGTTAGACACAAGGAAGACAGCACGATAAACAATATGAAAACAGATTCAGTTTTCCAAAGCAGGGTGACATCAGAGCAGGACAGTTGGAATAAGGGAGTGGAGTCACAAAAAAAATGCTGGATCTTGTTCGAACCACAGAAAGTGAGCTTGGAGAGCAGCACCAGGCGGTAACTCAAGAACATGAAGCCCATGACCCAAACAGCAACCACCAGCTGGATGCAGAGCCAGTGCTTCATGATGGCAGCATAGCGCAAAGGCTGGCAGATGGCAATGTAACGGTCAAAGGACATGACAACAAGGAGAACAAACTCTGAACCACCCAGGGCAAAATAGAAGGAGGCCTGGGCAAAGCATCTTCCTACTGAGATTGTTCTCCTGCCAAAGCTCAGAATTACCAACAGTTTGGTGCTTGTGGAGGACGTAAGCCAGATTTCCAGGAATGCCAGATTGCCAATGAAATAGTACATGGGGGTTTGCAGGCGGTTATCCACACACACCAGGAAAATGATGGCTGCATTCCCCATCACCGTTGTCAGGTACATGAGTAGAAGGACCAGGCAGAGAAATAGCTGTAGCCTTTGATCAAGCTCTGAGAAGCCTGTGAGGATGAACTCAGAAATGACAGTTCCATTGCCTACTCCCATGCCCAATTTCCATTCATCCTGCTGAGGCAGGAACATGGCAAAAGTACAGGTACAATAATTTCATTATCTGGACAGGAGGCTATCTCCTTCCTTCTCTCTTTCCTTGCTTGCAGGCTTTCTATACAACAGAGAGAGGGACTTTTGTGTTTCACATATCAAGATGAGTCAACAGGGAATTTCTTGTCTTCTTTCCACCTTTGTCCATCAGCCAGAAATGATTCTTTCTCAAGAACATAGGACTAATAGGGGGTTGTTAGCAATTGCACCCTGTTCCCAGGAAGGTCCTCATTTACTCAGAACAATTGCAAACATCCATTGTAGCAATGTTTCAAAAGGAAATCTCATCTTCTGCACAAATATTTTCTATTTTGTAGATGCTAAGCCATAAATTCAAATAAGTATATTGAAAGTTATTCTCTCTCCTCTTCAGTACTTGCCTTTTTGGACTACCAGCAGCTGAGGATCCCCTGGTTTATTTCAGGACAAAGAAATTTCAGGTCTCTCTTTTGTAATGCTGTGATTTCTTCTTTTTGTCATCTTCCCTTATTTCTTTAGGAAAGAAGAAAAATGCGGACCAAGTGTAGCTTGCCTTTTTTAGTACTGTAAATTAAGGTCAAAATTCATTATGGTCCCAGCAGGTCCGTAGAAACAGATCTATCACAATCTCATCTGACTTCATTCTTCACTGAAAAGCAAATATATCCAGAATTGCTCTTCGTTCTTACTATCAGACATTCTCAACTAAATTCCTTGCTTTTCTGAGAGGTGGAAAAATCTTGTCCTCTTCAAAAGCTTGAGGATAGTCCTTGTAGTACAAAGAGGAAGTGCCTAAAAAAAGCAAAGTGCCAAGTACTACTGTGTAGGCTTATATTTCAGTTGACTAAAAGTCACATCCTTCAGGTTGAGCTATTTAACTTACTCCCATCCCATCAATGCTGAGAGAGAGAAGAGCATCTGAAAGAGATCCCTCACCTTTATTTTGCATGGCAGTTCTAGGCTGGGATGACCCAGACATGAGCACTTTCTCTTGTTTCAGTGATTGTTGGGGAAGCCTCAGGAGAACAAGTTCTCACAGGCACCAGTAGTGAAGAAGGTTAAACTCATTACTCAAGTCTCTGATGATTGTAGTAAATTACTCTCTTCTGTAAATCAAAGTACTCCTCGAACAGGAAAATAAACAAAACTAAAACAAAAACCACAAGAGAAACTTGTTCAGCAAAGACAGACATTTACTCCTTCACCTTTCCCTATGTGTTTAGACATAGAAAGGATCAGAGCAAATGACTGCAAAAAGCGACCACCTCAAAATGCAAGGGTGGGGGAGGAGATGATGGGTTTGAAGCAGTGAAGTAGTTTCTCCATGGGCTGTGTTGTCCCCTCAGGACCTGTCCCAGGGCAGAATGGGTGCACTTAGGCAGGAAAATGGGAAGCTCAGAAGTGGGGAGTTTTAAGGACTTTTAACATGGGGCTTGGGCTGGTCTTAGACCGCAAGTGCCCTGCCTTGCTCTTTGCAAAGAGGAATCTGTGCACTGGCTTCATCAGGAAAACTTGTTGAGATTAACCCATTAGCTGTAATAGTTTTAGCAGAAGCTCAAGCCCAGTCACCAACAGCAATATGTTGTGGTTTAGCCCTGACAATCAGCTAAGCACTGAGGGGATCTGATCCAAGACTTTTTCCCATGCAATGAGGAAAAATAAGAATGGGAGGCAGTGACGGGAAACAAGTCTGGTCAGTCATGTTAATCATAAGATCACAAAAACATAGAAAGTTTTGGTTTCCAAGGCACTTTAAAGATCAACCAGTTCTAACTGCCCTGCCATAGTAAGGGGCACCTTTCACCAGACCAGGTTGCTCAAAGCCCCATTAAGCCTGGCCTTGAACACTTCCAGGGATGGGGCACCCACAGTTCCTCTGGTCAACCTGTTATGGTGCCTCATCACCCTGAAAAATCAATTTTCCTCTGAATATCCAATCTAAAACTACCCTCTTTTAGTTTAAAAACTACCTATGTTCTGAATGGAAATGCAGGACAGGGAGACCCAGTGGGCACAGCTGTTTGTGCTGCTGCTGCTAAGGACAAGAGATATGCATCCAGTCTGTCTCAGGAGCCTCACACTGAAATGTAGGTGCACAGGGTTCACATCCAAGCCTGATACACGAACTCCTCATTCTGGTGGAGATGGTCAAGGAAGAGGAGCAGTCTTTTGCAAGCACCCAGCATCTGTCCAAGTACATGTCTTTTCTACCTCCTGCAGCTACTGAAATGGGGGACAGTTGCCTTAAAGGACTATGTCATGCTTTTCTGATCCATGCAGAATTTTCAGATACCCAAAGGCATCAGAAATGGCCCCAGATACCAATGTCCAAGTTATTCCACCTGTTTTTATTCACAGACTCTCATCTGCATGGTATCTCTTCTCCAGCTGGACCCTTCTCTTCACATCTAATTCCTTTTCCAAGGAGCCCCCAGTGGGCTGCATCACCTTAGTACTTTGGAAACTTGGTTGGTCATGTTGCATCTTGACTATTGCCCATGGTGGAGGTTAAGAGAATTTCCTTTCCTTTTCTTGTCTCACACCTGTCTTTCTCATCTGGAAGAAATCTCAGCTGATGAGCTACAAGCCTCAGGAAAAATTTTGTCTCTCTGTGAAACTCCAGAGAAATATCCTCATCAATCAAAGTGTTCATCAAGCAAGGATCTGTGTGGGTTGTGTTTGCTGGAAGTTGAGAAGCAGACAGTCCTGGAATTGTGATCTCTGGTGGGCTAAAGCAGTCCTGTGTTTCAGTTCTTCTCTGTGCTGATGGTGGTTTAGATGGGCGCACACCAGACATCTGCATGTCAGCTGCTTGTCTCAGCTCCCAGCACATCGAATAGAGGTGGAGGGCAGGAAGGATCTGTTCAGATGCAGATCCCTGGTGACATTGGAGGTACCAGAGTGACATTTGAGTGACATTTGTGGTGTCAGATTTCTCTGGGTCATAAACAGAGGTGGTATGAGGAAACTGCTACCAGCTGTAGCCCAATGGCAAAGAAGTAAAGGCAGGATCTATTCAACCTCTAAAGACTTTATTGCTCCCAAATCCATTTAGATATGAAATGTAGACGTGAAATATGCCAATATGTTTGGGAGATACGATATCTCCATTTAAGTTATTGGGAGGACATGCATTTTTGGAAATATCTATATAAATTTATATTTGCATAGAAGGAGTGTCCTCATCTTGCTGGGACATGTCCCAGACCTATGAAAACAATCATGAGATCTTCTAGACAATCTACAAAATTCTAAAAATGAAGACTTCTTACACACCGAGAAGAACAACAACACAACATGTTTTTATTTATTTCACAGACTTACTGAATTGTTGAAGGGCCCTCCAGAGATCATCTATTCCAATGCCCCCACTCCAGCAGGCTCACCTAGAGCATGTTACACAGGATCACATCCAGGTGGATTTTGAATATCTCCAAAGAAGGAGACTCCACAGCCTCTTCAGGAAGTCTGTTCCAGTGCTCTCTCACCCAAACTGTAAAGAAGTTCTTCCTCATATGACAATGAAATCTCCTGTCATTCAATTTACACCCATTACCCCTTGTCCTATCACTCACCACCACTGAGAAGAGCTTGGCCCCATCCACTTTACATTGTCCCATCAAGTATTTCTAAAGGTTGATAAGATCCCTTCTCAATCTTCTCTTCTCTAGGCTAAAATGACCAAGCTTATTTAGACTTTCCTCACAGGACAGATGTTACAATACCTTAATCATCTTCGTGGTTCTACACTGGACCCTGTCTAGAAGTTCTATATTCCACTTGTACTGGGGAGCCCAGAACTGGACACAATACTCCACTTGTGGCCTCAACAGGGTTGAGAAGAGGGGGAGGATCACCTTCCACCTCCCTCGACCTGCTGTCCACACTCCTCTTGATGCAAGCTAGGACCTCATTGGCCTTCTTGGCCACAAGGGCACATTGCTGGCTCGCAGTTAACTTCTCCACCATGACTCCTATGTCCCTCTCCACAAAGCTGCACTCCACCAGGTCAGCCCCCGACCTGTACTGGTGCCTGAGGTTGTTCCTCCCCAGGTGTAGGACCCCACACTAGCTCCTGTTGAACCTCAGTGAGGTTCCTCTGTGCCCAGCTCTCCAGCCTGTCCAGGTCCCTCTGAGTGGCCACACAGGCCTCTGATGTGCCAGCCACTTTGACAAGCTTTGTATTGCCCACCAACTTGCTGAGGGTGCACTCTGCCCTTTCATCTAGGTCACTAATTAATAAGTTGAATAGCACTGGACCCAGTACTGACCCCTGGGGGCACTGTTGAGCACAACACAGAGCTCTGCCATTCAGCCAGTTCTCGATCCACCCCACTGTGTGCTCATGGATCCCACAATCCAAGAGCTTGCCCAGGAGGATGTTATGGAATACAGTGTCTAAAGTCTTGCTGAAGTCAAGGTAGACAACATCCACTGCTCTCCCCTCATCCTGCCAGCCATTAGTCTCAATGTAGAAGGCTATCAGGTTCATCAAACAGAACTTCCCCTTTATGAATTCATGTTGACTGCTTCTGATCACCTTCTTTTCCTCCATGTGCTTATCCAAGACCTTTTGAAGATGATAGAGAGAGACTTAGCAGTAATGTTTGACAGTTCCTCAGCACCCTCGGTTGCATCCCATTGGGGCCCATAGATTTCTGGGTGTCCAACTTGCCTAAATAACCTCTAACCCAATCCCCTTCAACTTCGGGAAAGTCTTCTACCCTCCAGGTTTTCCCTTTTGTTTCCAGGCTCAGTAGTGCTTGGGTTCCAGCCTTAGCAGTGAAGACCAAAGCAATGAAGGCATTCAGTAACTCTGCCTTCTGTGTATCCACCAGCACCAAGGTACCCACCTACTTTAGCTGAGCACTCACATTTCCCTCAGTCTTCCTTTTGCTGCTGATGTATTTGAAGAATCCATTCTTGTTATCCTTGATGTCTGTCGTTAAATTTCATTCTAACTGGGCCTTGGCCTTCCTCATTGCACCCCTGCATTCTCCGACAATGTTCCTAAATTCCACCCAAGTCGTCTGTTCCTTCTTCCACATCATGTACGCTTTCTTCTCCTGTTTTTTTCCCAAGAGCTCCTTGCCCATCCATGCAGGTCTCCTGCCCCCCCTTGCTTTTCTTTCTTGTAAGGATGCACCAACCCTGAGCTTGGAGGAAGTGGTGCTTGAATATCAGCCAGCTCTCCTGGACCCTCTTTCCCTCTCAGACCCCGGCCCAGGGGATTCTTCCAATTAGGTCCCTGAAGAGGTCAAAGTTGACTCTCTTGAAATCCAGGCTTGCAGTCCTTCTTTTGCCCTGATCCCTCCTCACAGGATCTTGAACTCCAACATCTCATAATCACTGCAGCCAAGTCTGCCCTCAACCTTCGTGTTTCCAATTAGACTATCTCTTTTTGTTAGCACCAGGTCCAACAGCACCCTTCTCCTTGTTTGCTTACTTTCTTCCTGCATCAAGAAGTTATCTGCAGTGGTCTGTAGCAACCACCTGGACCATGTTTTCTGAGCTGTGTTGTCTCCTAAGCAAATATTTGCATGGATAAAGTCCCCCATAAGAAGCAGGGCCTGGGAACGTGAGGCAACTTGCAGCTGCTTGTAGAAGGCCTCATCCACTTCCTCTTCCTGATCCAGTGGCCTGTAATAAACACCCACCACACCATCACCCCAGTTGGCCTGCCCTTTAATCCTCACCCATAGGCTCTCGACTTGCACTTTGTCCCCTCCTAGGCAGAGCTGCATAGATTCCAGTTGCTCACTCACAAAAAGAGCAACTACACCACCTTTCCTTCCTGGCCTGCCCTCACTAAAATCACAGAGCTGTCCATGGCCACATTCTGGTCATGGGAGATGTCCCGCCATCTTCCAGTCATTGCAACGAGATCATAACCCTGCAACTGCACTCACACCTCCAGTTCCCCTTATTCCCCATGCTGTATGCATTTACATAGAAACATTTGAGTTGGGCTCCCAATGCATCTGCCTTTCTGGATGGGGCAGCTTTAACTCATCCATGTGGGCCTACGGTAGCTCTCCTGTTAAGCTCTGTTCTCTCTCTAGGCTCTGGGCATCCTTTGTAGGCTCTAATTTTCATCTGGAGTGAGTGAGATGACATGTCATCCCATACCTTATCCCCAGCATCCCGGATGATATCTCCCTCCCCCATCGATACAAACTGGAGTCAAAGGCAGCCTACTGCTATGCCACGATTTATATCCCTAAAGCATTTTTCTCCACTCCTTTGCCAACAGCATGCAGGCCACAGTTTGCTTTAATTTGGAGTGGAGTCCAGTTCACCTGGAATCAACTGCCCCAGGGATGGAAACCCAGCCCTATCATTTGCCATGGACTGATTCAGACTGCCCTGGAGCAGAGGGAAGCTCCTGAACACCAGCAGTACATTGATAGCACTCTAACAGCAGAAATCACACTTGTAAAATCTGTCTCTCCCATGTTCAGCAAAGAGCAGTCAGTGATGACTTCAGTCTGCTTCAAGCACCACACCCCAGCAGAGACTCTGCTGCCTTCAGGAGCTGTCAGCCCTGAGGCCCTGGGGACACCTCGAGGGAGCCCAATGGCACAGAGCAAGTGATGCCATGGCCGGGTGTTGTGCTGCTGAGCTGGGCCAAGCTCCTGGGCCCAAGGAGAGCTCCTGGCAAGTGGGCAGCACTGCAGAGAGACAGCTCTGCCCAGGAGCAGCTCCTCTGCACAGTGCAGCAGGGCTGGGGGCTCGGACTGCAGGTGACACAGGGAGAGGAGAGAAGGAGAGAGGGCTTGGAGCCAGTGAGGAGCGCAACAACAGAGGGCAGCGTGTGGCAGGACAGATCTGCAGGCTCTTGGCACTGTGAGTCTCTGGCAGCAGAACAATGCAGATGCAGTTCCCAACGAGGTTGTCTACAGCTGGTACATCTTATGGCTGATAGCATCTCTCAGGATGGTTTTCTCTGTTTCTCCAGTGAGGAGCAGAAGGTGCTCTAGAGAACAATATTTATAATGGGGTCTTTCCAGTGGAAGACTGGGGCTTGGCTTACTTGAAAGGAAAGGCTTTTCTGGATTCTGCGCATTCAGATTCCTGCAGAGGAGGGGAATCTGAGTGAATCTGAGCACACAGCTTGTGAGATGGGGTCTGCAGGACATGGACAGGGAGGAAACGTGGACACAGAACCAGCTCCCAGCAGGGACATGTGCAGGCAGTGAGAGGGAGCTGCTGCCAGAAATGCTGTGTGAGGGAGGGCTCAGGCACCTCCCTGCCATCCCCTGCAGGGCAGGTGCCTTCCCTGGGCCACCCCCTGCTCTCCTGTCCCACCAGCACAGCCTCTGCCCTCAAGCCCCTGGTGTCTCCAGCAGGAGCTGACTCCTCTTCAGGCAGAGCTGCAGCAGAGAAGGGTCTGCTGAGTGTCTGTCTGTCCCTCCCTGGCCTTGCCTCCCCTGGCAGCAGCACGCTGGCATTCCTGCTGGCTTCTCCACCTGGCCGTGATGCTGCTGTTCTTGTTTCCAGGCTGGTAGGGGATGGGGCTTTCAGATGCACATGGAGTGAGCCCTCAGTGTGCTTGGCTGGTTAGGGGGTACAGGGACAGGGACAGGGTCTGGAGATATGCCCTTTGAACCTGGATTCCTTTATTCCCAGCATTGTCATGGTTTTGTAGGCACTGGAACAGGCACCACAGGGAAGTGGTCACAGGCTGCCAGAATTCAACAAACATTTGGACAACCCCCTCAGGCATATGGACAGATTTTTGGGTGTTCATGTACCAATTCAGGGGTGGGATTTGGTTATCCATGTGGGTCCTTTCCATGTCAGGATATTCATTCTATGCCTATATGATCCTCTGAGTGCAATTGTCTTGCACCACAAAATGTCAAATGAGGCACAGGTCAAATGAGACCAGTCTTGTCTGTTCTATCTGAAGGACATTGCACTGAAGGCACCATCCCCTTGAGTCTGAGGATCCACAAGGTTTCACTTGAACTGCCCGGGATTTATGCCTTAGAAAAAGTCCTCAGGAGTGGGGTGGGCAGCTAGACAGAAAACAAGAAATAAATCCCCACAGCCCTGCCGTGCAGTTGGGTGAATTATCAGTAACAATAAGGAAATACAAAATAACAATACAAACAACACAAAAGTTCTTTATCATGAGGTAATTGAATCTGAGATTACCCCATGTTCCTCTTTACCTCTGGCTATGGGTCAGGAATTATTCCTGCATTGCCCACAGCAGAGTCCCCTGCTCCCAGGGACACCCTCAGGCAGCATCAAGCAGAGCATATGAAAGTGACCTGCTAAACATCTGTCTGAAAGGGGAAAATTGATTTCAGGGGGGTTATATGAAAAATGGAACAAGTTTTTCTCAGGTATGTCTTAGTTATTAAAGCTTTTTATTTATTTAATTAATTTAATTTAATATTTTATTATTTTTAATTTATTAATGATTTTTTCATGCTTGGAAAGCCTCCATGTCCAACATCAGCTCAGCGAGTGAGTTTCTCCTCCTGCCATTCGCAGACACACGCGAGCTGCAGCTCCTGCACTTTGCGCTCTTCCTGGGCATCTACCTGGCTGCCCTCCTGGGCAACGGCCTCATCCTCACAGCCGTAGCCTGCAATCACCGCCTCCACACCCCCATGTACTTCTTCCTCCTCAACCTCGCCCTCCTGGACCTGGGCACTATTACCACCACTGTTCCCAAAGCCATGGCCAATTCCCTGTGGGACACCAGGGCCATCTCCTATGAAGGATGTGCTGCACAGGTCTTCTTTTTATTCTTCTTGCTTGGAGCAGAGTATTCCCTCCTCACTGTCATGGCCTACGACCGCTACGTTGCCATCTGCAAGCCCCTGCACTACGGGAGCCTCCTGGGCAGCAGAGCTTGTGCCCAGATGGCAGCAGCTGCCTGGGGCAGTGGCTTTCTTGATGCTGTCCTGCACACTGCCCATACATTTTCCCTGCCCCTCTGCCAAGGCAATGCTGTGGACCAGTTCTTCTGTGAAATCCCCCAGATCCTCAAGCTCTCTTGTTCACATGCCTACCTCAGGGAAGTTGGACTACTCGTCTTTAGTCTTTCTTTAGCATTTGGTTGTTTTGTTTTCATTGTGCTGTCCTATGTGCAAATCTTCAGGGCTGTGCTGAGGATGCCCTCTGAGCAGGGCCAGCACAAAGCCTTTTCCATGTGCCTCCCTCACCTGGTCGTGGTCTCCCTCTTTGTGAGCACTGGCATGTTTGCCTACCTGAAACCACCCTCTATCTCCTCCCCATCCATGGACCTTCTGGTGTCATTTCTGTACTCAGTCGTACCTCCAGCAATGAACCCCCTCATCTATAGCATGAGGAACCAGGAACTGAAGAACGCAGGAAGGAAATTACTTGCATAAATTGTTCTTAAGCATCAGTAATATGCCCTCATGTTAAAATTAGTAACAGGGTTTTTCACAAAATGTTAGGGAAATATTTTGAAATTGTCTTAATTATTACTTTTCAACCATCTGGTAGTATTATTTTTATTTAAAGAAGTTTCTTCTTATCTTCCTACCTGTTGATTTTTATTTTGACTCAGTCATCTGTGGTACTTTAAGAACCAATCTTCCTGTGCAGAGGAAGTCAATAAAGAAGCCATGAGATATTAAATGGTCTCAGGGCCTGTCTCTTCTCATCTCCTCTGCAGCAGGTGGAGCAGCCCCAGCATGGAGGAGGGACACAGGGCCAAGAGCCCAGCTGCCACTTTGTGAAGGGGCCCAGGTGCCTTCTGGGGCTGCCCCTCACCATTGGTGAAGAAGAATGCAGCCTAATGTACGTCCATTTCCTGAGCCATGGCTGGCCCCAGCGCGGGGGCTGCTGAGGAAGCCCAGAGTTGCATTTGTCCCAGCAGCTGTGGTGCCAGCAAATAGTATCTGGCCTTTTACTGGCCTGGGAGTGTCCCAGAGGTGTTGGGAATTATGGCAAATGTCATCCTGGAGGGGAATCTGGAGCTGCCCTGTGCCTGGGCCAGGCCTCTTGTGCTGGCCTGGGGACTGGGAATGGCCCTGCGGGACACAGGCACTCTGTGCTGGAGATCTCCCTGGCAAGAGACCAGGAGTCCTATAGCTTCACAGACCTCCATTTCCCGAGCCATGGCTCTCCCCAGCCCTGGGGTTGCTGGGGAGGCCCAGAGCCACCTTTGTCCCAGCAGCTGTGTTGCCTTGTGAGAGGCTGCAGCTGTGGTGGCCATGCCCAGAGCCCTGCATCAGCCTGTGGTGGGCACTGCCCTGGGGCCAGCCCAGCCTGGGCTGTTGGGCTGGGCTGGGCTGGACTGGGCTGTGTTGGGCTATGGTGGGCTGGGGAGAGGACACTGAAGTGGGGAGAGGTGGGCAGGGGCTGGGCTGGGCTGGGCAGTGCCTGGCACAGGGCAACAGCAGCATCAGGGAGCGGTGGCAGCATGCAGGGGAGGGCTCCCAGCAGGGCTTGGTGCTGCAGAGCCAGGGCTGCACAAAGGGAGCCCAGAGCTGCAGGGGCAAGGAGGTCGCTCTGGGTCTTTGCTGGCCTGGGCAGAGCAGGAAGGGGACCCAGGGCATTTGTCCCCTCACTGCAGCCTGCCAGGACCTGCAAGGCAGTCATGGAGCATCCAGGACCAGGCTCTGCACTGTGGCTGCCACAAGCTCTGCATGCCCTTCTCCTGCCATGCTCCATGCGGTGGCTGCAGCAGAGGGGACCCCCAGCCAGACCCTGCATGGGGCTCTGCCACCTGCCTCACTCCAGCCCTCTTCGGCGCCTTCCTTGCTGCTCTCTGATGCATGCCAGGACCTCCCCGTGCGTGCCGGCCAGCACATCTGCTGAAGGCCAGTGCGGCTGCTGCAGGGGCAGGAAGCTCAGCATGGCCCTTGCAGCCCCCTGCCCTGGGCCTGCCTCTCCACTTGGCCTCAGCCCTGGCCTTGTCTGTTCTGGCAGAAGGGCTCTTGGCATGTGCTCCCTGGCCTCCCCTCACCTCCAGACAGCTGCTGCCCACTCAGGCTGCTGCCACAAACATGTCCTCACAAGCAGCACCACCCCTTGGGCTGCTTCTCCTGGCCTCCCCCACCCCACTGCCTTGACTCCTTGTCTCTGCTGGGTCCCCTCTTTGTCACCCAAATGTGTCCCTTGACGGTCAGCTCCCTCTCCCCTGCCCCACAGGATGACAAGAATTGAGTGAGATATATTTTGTCCTGGGGGACAAAGCAGTCATTGGTCCCAGCCAGCATGGGTTTGTGAAGGGTAGGTCCTGCCTAACTAACCTGATTTCCTTTTATGATAAGATCACCCGTATGGTGGACCAAGGGAAACCAGCTGATGTGATTTTTTTGGACTTCAGCAAGGCTTTTGACACAGTTTCCCATAGGATCCTACTGGACAAAATGTCCACCATACAGCTAAATAAAAACATCATACGATGGGTGAGCAATTGGCTAACAGGCAGGGCCCAAAGGGTTATGGTGAATGGGGCTGCGTCAGGCTGGCGGGCGGTCACCAGTGGGGTCCCTCAAGGCTCCATTTTAGGGCCGGTACTTTTCAATATTTTTATAAACGATCTGGATGTAGGAATAGAAGGTATTTTGAGCAAGTTTGCTGATGACACCAAACTTGGAGGAGTTGTGGACTCTGTTGAGGGTGGAAAGGCCTTGCAGAGGGATCTGGATAGGTTGGAGAGCTGGGCGATCGCCAACCGCATGAAGTTCAATAAGAGCAAGTGCCGGGTCCTGCACCTGGGACGGGGAAACCCTGGCTGCACGTACAGACTGGGCGATGAGACGCTGGAGAGCAGCCTAGAAGAGAGGGATCTGGGGGTCGTGGTAGACAGCAAGTTGAATATGAGCCAGCAGTGTGCCCTGGCAGCCAGGAGGGCCAACCGTGTCCTGGGGTGCATCAAGCACGGCATCGCTAGTAGGTCAAGGGAGGTGATTGTCCCGCTCTACTCTGCGCTGGTGCGGCCTCACCTCGAGTACTGTGTGCAGTTCTGGGCACCACAGTATAAAAAGGACATGAAACTGTTGGAGAGTGTCCAGAGGAGGGCTACGAAGATGGTGAAAGGCCTGGAGGGGAAGACGTACGAGGAACGGCTGAGGGCACTGGGCCTGTTCAGCCTGGAGAAGAGGAGGCTGAGGGGAGACCTCATCGCAGTCTACAACTTCCTCTTAAGGGGGTGTCGAGAGGCAGGAGACCTTTTCTCCATTAACACCAGCGACAGGACCCGCGGGAACGGGGTTAAGCTGAGGCAGGGGAAATTTAGGCTTGACATCAGGAGGGGGTTCTTCACAGAGAGGGTGGTTGCACACTGGAACAGGCTCCCCAGGGAAGTGGTCACTGCACCGAGCCTGTCTGAATTTAAGAAGAGATTGGACTGTGCACTTAGTCACATGGTCTGAACTTTTGGGTAGACCTGTGTGGTGTCAAGAGTTGGACTTGATGATCCTTAAAGGTCCCTTCCAACTCAGGATATTCTATGATTCTATGATTCTATGATCCTTAAGGGTCCCTTCCAACTCAGGATATTCTATGATTTTATGATTCTATGATCTCCCTCCCTTTTCTAAGGTGCCCTTGTCCCCTGCAGGCAGTGCCCCCAGCCCTGCTGCTGTGCTGTGCAGAGGAGCTGCTCCCAGGCAGAGCTGTCTCTCTGCAGCGCTGCCCGCTTGCCAGGAGCTCCCCTTGGGCCCAGGAACCTGGCCCAGCTCATCAACAAGGGGGGATCTTGACAAGTCCCTGGGCCTCCAGGGGAATCAAATTTGAATCACACCGAAGTAATCATTTATGTTCCTTCCCTCCACTGCAAAGGGACCACTTTCCTTCCTCATTTCAGAAGAGGTATGATGACCAAGGATCACCTTTCCATGTCCTGGTTTTAAGCAGAACACCCACCCAAGGATCTCCCTCCCCCTGCTAAGGGAAGGGTTTCAGCTGAGTCAAACCAGGCATCCCATATTTTGTTTGCAGTTCAGAGGCTAGGAGGGGGCTTAGCTGCCTCCCTGTGCCTCACAGTATCCCACAGGAGTTGGGATTCCTCTTACCTTGGTTCATTGGGCACAAACCAGGCAGCTCTATGTAAGCTGCTTGTCTCAGCTCTCAGCATTTTGAATAGAGAAAGAGACCAAGAGGGAGCTGTTCAGATGCAGACACCAGGTGATATTGGAGATGGCAGAGTGACATCTGAGTGACATTTGACGTGCCTAATTCCTCTGGGCCATAAACAGAGATTTTATTATTGCATGTACAATATAATATAACTGTAGCCATTGCTCAATAGCGAATAAGTTAAATAAATAAAAGGCATGCTGTGACCTGGTTGCCATCACTGCAACTTGGTGGGACCACTCCCATGACTGGAGTGCTGCAATGACTGGTTATGGGCTCTTCAGAAGAGATAGACAGAACAGAAGGGGTGGTGTGGCTCTCTATATTAGGGAGTGTTTGGATGTTGCAGAACTTCAGTCTGGGAATTATATTATTGAGTCCCTATGGGTCAGGGTCAGAGGGAAGGCCAACAAGGCAGGCATCCTGGTGGGGATATCTTATTGACCGCCAAACCAGGATGAGAAGAGAGATGAGGCATTCTACAAGCAGACTTCGAGCTGTTCAGGACACTGGTTGGCAGAGTCTCTTGGGTGGCAGGTCTGAAGGGCAGAGGAGTCCAGAAGGGCTGAACACTCTTCAAGAAAAAAATCTTCAAGGCTCAGGAGCTGTCCATCCCCATGTGCCCAAAGTCCAGCCAGTATGGAAGAACAGAGAGCTGAACAGAGAGTTGTGGCTAGAGCTTAGGAAGAAAAAGAGGGTTTAGGACCTTTGGAAAAGAGGGCAGGCCGCTCAGGAGGACAATAAGGATCTTATGAGGATGTGCAGGAACAAAATTAGAAAGGCCAAAGCTCATCTGGAGCTCACTCTGGCTACTGCTGTTAAAGATAACAGAAAACGTTTTTATAAATACAGAAACACAAAAAGGAGGACTAAGGAGAATCTCCATCCTTTACTGGATGTGGGGGGAAACTTAGTGACAAGAGATGAGGAAAAGACTGAGGTGCTTAATGCCTTCTTTGCCTCAGTCTTTAGTGGCAAGACCAGTTGTTCTCTGGGTACTCATCCCCCTGATCTGGTGGAAGGGGATGGGGAGCAGAATGTGGTTCTCATAATCCATGAGGACATGGTTGGAGACCTGCTACAGCACTTAGATGTACACAAGTCAGTGGGGCTGGATGGGATCCACATGAGGATACTGAGAGAACTGGTGGAAGAGCTGACCAAGACACTTTCCATCATTTATCAACAGTCCTGGCTACCCAGGGAGGTCCCTGTCAACTGGTGGCTAGCAAATGTGACATCCATCTACAATGAGGGTTGGAGGGTGGACCCAGGAAACGATGGGCCTGTTAGTTTGACTTCAGTACCAGGGAAGCTCATGGAACAGGTTATCTTGAGTGTCATCATGCAGCACTTGGAAGGCTCTGCAGGAGGATCTGGATAGGCTGGACACATGGGCTAAGGCCAGCTGTATGATGTTCAACAAGGCCATGTGCCGGGTCTTGCACCTGGGGAGCAATAACCCCAAGCAGAGCTACAGGCTGGGAGATGAGTGGTTGGAAAGCTGCCAGGCAGAGAAGGACCTGGGAGTATTGGTGGATAGTCGGCTGAATATGAGCCAGCAGTGTGCTCAGGTGGCCAAGAAGGCCAACAGCATCCTGGCTTGTATAAGAAGCAGTGTGGCCAGAAGGGCTAGGGAAGTGATTGTCCCCCTGTACTCGGCTCTGGTGAGGACGCACCTTGAGTACTGTGTTCAGTTTTGGGTCCCTCACTACAAGAAGGACAGCGAGGTTCTCAAATGAGTCCAGAGAAGGGCAAAAAAGCTGGTGAGGGGCCTGGAGAACAAGTCTTATGAGGAGCGGCTGAGGGAGCTGGGCTTGTTCAGCCTGGAGAAGAGGAGGCTCAGGGGTGACCTTATTGCTCTCTACAGGTACCTTAAAGGAGGCTGCAGTGAGGTGGGGGTTGGTCTGTTCTCCCACGTGTCCTTTTATAGGAGAAAGAAGAATAGGCTAAGGTTGCACCAGAGGAGGTTTAGGTTGGATATTGGGAAAAACTTCTTTAAGGGGAAGGCAGGAGGAGCCTGGCCAGGAGAGATGTGAGATCTGGGGGAGGAAAGAGGAGCTTGGACAGCAGAAGCTAACTATTTTGAAGAGGTAATTCATATTCAGGTTATGTTGATCCCACCATAAAGCTGACTTAAAGCAGTCATGTAAGGGCCTTACCCTGTTTTAACCTGTTGCATCAATACCTAAATCTAAATGCCACTCCATACCCTGCCAGGAATCCACCGCTCTAATTTTTTACCGCAATATCCCTTGAGGCCAAGATTAGTCCATAACCCCTTTCCATTACCTTTCCTCTATTACAGAATCACAGAATCACATGGGAGTGCAGGACATTCCCTTCTAGTGGCTGGAGTCAGGACCTGGCCCTTTAACTTCAGCACAGCAAACCCAGACTTTTCTCAGCACAGTGCTTTGCCTATCTGTAATCATGGCCTCCAATTATCTGCCCTAGCAAGTCCCTGAGGAGAATCTCTTGGTAACAGCCCTCAGTGGGGCCCATTAATACTCCAAGTCACTTCAACTTCTCCTTCTGACTTTACTTGCTCAAGCAATTGCATCATTCTCCTCTCAGTATCTGACATTCACAAACTGAGCACCAAAATCCACCATGGAACTCATTAAAATGCAGAAACTCCTAAGCAAACATATGTCTTCCATAGTTTTATTCAAGTCTTCAAGACTTGGAGAACTAATTGGAGAGCTTTCATAGTGTAGTTAAGGAGGAAGATTTCAAAAAGCACCTAATAAATGTCTCCTCTCATTTTAAAGGGTGAATTTTATTGCATTTCAGTTTTGAGCATCTTTCTTCAATTGATATTAATCCAGCGCTTAATCTCTGGAGACATCCATAGGGAGGGAAAGCAGCCTTTTGAGGTCTGACAATGTACAGACAACCTTGCTCCTCACCACCTCAACCCTGACATTTCTCTCATTGGCCACCTGGTGCTTGCATCACTTTTCCTTGCACCACACTTCTGTGCTGAAGTCTGCAGCTGGATGTTACAGCCCCCTTGCACCAGCTCCCACCTGCTTTCCTTAGAGACCTGGCTGCACACAGGCACAGAAGGGTTTTTCCTTATTTTAAAATAAACAACAAGGAAACATGCAGCAATTTTCCAAACAGCAAAGCAAGCTCCTCATCTTGTATGTCTCCAGTCAGGTTTACCTCACTGGCTTATCCTCACAAAAGGATGACTGTAGATTAAGTATTTTATACTGATTGATAAGAAATTATAGGTATTAAGATTAGTATTATTCCATATGATCTTAATTCAATGATAAATGGTGAGGAGCTTGCTACAGAAACAATTAGGATGACTGCTAATCGATGGGCAAGCTTGAACGCAATGAAGCTGAAAGCAGAAACTGGGTCAATCAGAGTGGTCTGAATGATCAAAGAGTAAGGGGAGGAAGAAGCAGTAGAACCATGGGAAGTTCATAGGTCCAGACAGGCATCTGGAAAGGGGACATTCAAGAGGGATAGTTTATTCAAGATGGATGGAAGTGCCTGGAAGATGAGGGAGTACACCATGATGGAGAAAGCAATGAAATGCAAGTGCTCATGACCATCAGTATTTCTCCTCCTGTGATGAATATAGATCCAGAAAATTCACCTGAAGAAGGATGTAGATCACTGGTGAAAGAACTGTGGTTTTGTGCCATCACGAATTAGGATTACAAAAACACTTCCACATGTAACAGCAACATGTCCCACCCCATATATACCATCCTGTGGGGCAGGGCAGATGGAGCCAACAACCAAGGGACACATTTGCGTGTCAATGAGGGGGCCCAGCAGAGACAAGGAGTGCAGAGACAGGCAGTGGGATGGGGGAGGCCAAGAGAAGCAGCCCAAGGGGTGCTGCTGCTTGTGAGGACACGTTTGTGCCAGCAGCCTGAGTGGGCAGCAGCTGTGCGCAAGTGAGGGGAGGCCAGGAAGTGCATGCCAAGAGAGCTCCTGCCAGCAGAGACAAGGCCGGGGCTGAGGCTAAGGGGAGAGGCAGGCCCAGGCCCAGGTGGCTGCATGTGCCATGCTGAGCTTCCTGCCCTGCAGCAGCCGCACTGGCCCTCAGCAGATGTGCTGGCTGGCATGCACTGGGAGGTCCTGGTGTGCATCAGAGAGCAGCAAGGATGCTGCTGGAGAGGGCTGGGGCAAAGCGGGGGGCAGAGGCTCATGCAGGGACTGGCTAGGGGTCTCCTCTGCTACAGCCACTGCACGGAGTGTGTCAGGAGGAGGACAGGCAGGGCTCACTGCCACAGTGCAGAGCCTGGCCCTGGACGCTCCATGACCACCTTGCAGGTTCTGGCAGGCCATGGTGAGGGGACGAATGCCCTGGGCCCCCTTCCTGCTCTGCCCAGGCCAGCAAAGGCCCAGAGCGGCCTCCTCTCCCCTGCAGCTCTGGGCTCCCTTCACACATCCCTGGCTCTGCAGCACCAAGCCCTGCTGGGAGCCCTCCCCTGCATGCTCCCACCCTCCCTGATGCTGCTGTTGCCCTCTGCCGGGCACTGCCTATCGCAGCCTAGCCTCTGCCCACCTCCCCCCACCACCCTGCCATCTTCCCAGCCCACCCCAGTAGCCCAGCCCATCAGCCCAGTATGGGGTAGCCCCAGGGCAGTTCCCACTGCAGTGTGCTGTAGAGCTCTAGGCATGGCCACCACAGCTGCTGGGACAAAGGTGGCTCTGGGCCTCCCCAGCAGCCCTCAGGCTGGGACCAGCCATGGATCAGGAAATGGAAGGTCCTGAGCTGGCGATTCTGCTCTGCAGATCCAGGGGGCTGTGGTGCCCAGGGTCCCCTGGAGGACTGCGCCACACCCATTCTGCTCCAGGTGGTCATCAGACCCAACTCCATGGGGATCTCTGCTGCTGAGCCCCTTTCCACCTGCCCTGATGGCTCAGCACTACAGGGCCGTGCTTGGTAGGGCCATAGGATGTCTCTAAGGGCACAAAGGGCAGGTGAGTGCTGTACCAGACCTGGCCCAGGAGGCTTCAAGGAGGGTGTCCTCAATTACTCTTATGGGCCTTCACCTGCTGGCTCTTCACCACCTCAGCAGGAATTTCAGTCTTCCTTAGCCCCTGGACACCTCACATTTTCCTTTTCCTTTCCCAGACTCTTCTTGGTCACTCCTTTTATGAGGTTCTAATCACTATCCAATAAGCACATTTTCCCTAGGTTGCCCCATCTGGCAGCTCCAGATTCCTCTCCAGGTAGGCACTGGCTATCTGCCCCACTGCAGGGACCCATTCCAATGTAGATGGGTCCAAGACCAGTTGTTGTCTGCTTGGGCATGTGCCACCACAAAGGGAGCTCTTGGTCCAGCCCTTGGTTCCTCACAGATCATGATGGGACTTTCAGCCTGTGTCCTTCACTCCAGGAAAAATCCCAGAAAACAGAAAAGCAGGGAGTAACTCCATGGCTGGATGTCTTACAGCAGCTTTGCAAGAGGTGTCCAGGCTTCTGGGTTTGCCCTGAGCAGCCCCTTTTGTTACTGTGGTGCTAGCAGGGAGGCTAGCTGTGACCCAGGGCTGCACGTTGTCTGCTGCTGCCTGCAGCCACAGGGATGCCACTGCAGAGACAACAGGACTGTCACCAAGATACATGAGATCTGAGGGCTAAGAGAAATGCAAGAGCACAGAGGAACAATGTGGAAGTCAAAAGAGAGCAGCAGTGAAAAGGCCATGTCCTGCTGCTGGCCATGGCCATGGCTCCAGAGAAGCAGCAGCCCCAAGCCAGGAAGGCAGAGCCCAGTGGGCAGTGAGCGACTGCTCCTCCGTGTGGCAGCTGGGCTCTTGGCCGTGAGCCCTTCCTGTGTGCTGGGGCTGCTCCACCAGCTCCAGAGCTGATGGCAAGAGACGGCAGATGAGATCGATGAATTTCTGATGGATTCTTTATTGTCTTTATGTACACTGGAAACTTAGTTTTATAGGTAAATTATAAGATTTAGTCAAATTAATTCTGAGGAAGTATACATATAAATAATAAGACCATTTAAACCAATATCAACATTTATGAAAATAATAATGCACAAAATGATATGAAAATTGGCACCTCAGTTTCTCAAACATGTTGACAGGGTTATTATTAATGGTTATATTATGGTAATGTTGCTAATGAGAAAAATGTTACGATATGAATCACAATTATGGTATCAGTACTTATGCTTGAGAAGCACATATAGAAACAGTTTTCTCACTGCATCCTTGAGCTCCTGGTTCCTCATGCTGTAGATGAGGGGGTTCACTGCTGGAGGTACCTGCGAGTATAGAAGTGACACCACAAGGTCCAGGGATGGGGAAGAGATGGAGGGTGGCTTTAGGTAGGCAAAAAAGGCTGTGCTGACAAAGAGGGAGACCACGGCCAGGTGAGGGAGGCACATGGAAAAGGCTTTGTGTCGGCCTTGCTCAGAGGGCATCCTAAGCACAGCCCTGAAGATCTGCACATAGGACACCACAATGAAAACAAAACACCCAAATGCTAAAGAAAAACTAAACGCAAGAGCCCCAACTTCTCTGAGGTAGGCATCTGTGCAGGAGAGCTTGAGGATCTGGGGGACTTCACAGAAGAACTGGTCCACAGCATTGCCTTGGCAGAGGGGCAGGGAAAAGGTATTGACCGTGTGCAGGACAGCATTGAGAAAGCCACTGCCCCAGGCAGCTGCTGCCATCTGGGCACAAGCTCTGCTGCCCAGGAGGCTCCCGTAGTGCAGGGGTTTGCAGATGGCAATGTAGCGGTCGTAGGCCATGACAGTAAGCATGGAATACTCTGCCGTGAGAAAGAAAGGAAAAAGCAAGACCTGTGCAGCACATCCTTCATAGGAGATGGCCCTGGTGTCCCAGAGAGAATTGGCCATGGCTTTGGGCAGAGTGGTGGAGATGCAGCTCAGGTCAAGGAGGGCGAGGTTGAGGAGGAAGAAGTACATGGGGGTGTGGAGGTGATGGTCGCAGGCTACGGCTGTGAGGATGAGGCCATTGCCCAGGAGGGCAGCCAGGTAGATGCCCAGGAAGAGCCCAAAGTGCAGGAGCTGCAGCTGGTGTGTGTCTGCAAATGCCAGCAGGAGGAACTCGCTCAAAGAGCTGATGTTGGGCATTTGCTGACCCAGTTGTCTGTTGAAGAGAAGGAAAAAAAAAAGAAAAAAAAAAAAAGAGAAAGAAAGCAGAATTAAATGAGAAAAACTGGAATGAAAGAGGAGAGTAAGGGAAACTCATGTTCAGTCCACAAATAAGACATGAGCTTTGCAGTGCTGTTGCAAACACCTCATCTGAATGATGAGCAGAGCTGCAGATATTTTATTGGTTTGAGTTGCCCTTATAATGCTTAGGAGATGTATGAGACGGCTGAATGCCCTGACAGGTCATGTACACTCTTAGTGAAACCCTGTGTGTGCCAGGACTGTGCCCTGGTGAAGACTGAGCAGAGCAGACGTGCCAACGAGTCCTGCTCTCAGCTGCCCTGTATTACCCCTCTGCGAGCTGCAGCACAATCCCACTCGGGTGTTTTCCTGAGAAGAAACTGGAGACAGCTTAGAGCAGAGAAGCCCCAGTCCGAGTGCAGCTGGACCAAATCCTCACCTTGTCTCCAGGAGAAGCTCTCAGCCAGAAGGAGCCTGGGGGCTTCTCCTCATCTGAGCTCTGCATGGCCAGCCAGGGCAGGGTGTTCTGGGCTGACTGGGGGCACCTGGCTTAGGGCACTCTGAGGGTCTTCTGTCAGACTTCCTCCCCTTGCAGTAAAACCCAGCAGGACTCTCAAAGCCTACTGCATTGCCCACTGCCCTCCTAGAAACAAGACCCAGCAGGAGACCCTTCCAGGACCTGCAGCCTCATGGCCCTGCAGCCAGAGACTTACCTTGCGGAGATTTCTCCTGCAGTCAGCTCTCAGCATTCTCCCACTCCCAACTGCCTTCAGCCCCTCTCTCCTTCTGTCCTCTCCCCGTGCCACCTGTGGTGAGAGCCCCAGCCCTGCTGCTCTGTGCAGAGGAGCTGCTCCTGGGCAGAGCTGTCTCTCTGCACCAGGGCCCTCTTGCCAGGAGCTCTCTCTGTCCCAGGAGCCTGGCCCAGCTCAGCAACGGAGCCCCAGCCCAAGGCATTGGAATCACCTCTCCAATGGCTTTGGTGATGAGCTCATGAACCTCAGACACTGAGTGAAAAGTGAAGAACACTCTCAAGAAGTCCAAGTCAGATGCAAGTTTTCTGGAGTTTCTCCCCAGGGGCCAACACTGACATAGCTTCCCTTGGAGCTCGTTAGAGCCAAACATTGGAGGCGACGAGGCCAAGGAGACAAAGGCAATGTGAATTTGACACTGATCTTTGGAAAAACAGGATATGTTTCACCAAGCAAAAAGGCTGAGCCTTGATCCCTGGCCTCTGGGAAGGGAGATCCTTTCTCTTCACACATTGCTCAGAGCTCTTTCCGGGACAGTAGGATATGGGGATGTGCATTGCCAAGTGCAGGACAGTGGTACGACCTCTGCCTGGTTCATGGCTGGGTGTGAGGAGGCAATGAGGCCCTGGCACTTTACCGATAAGCTGTCTCCTCATAGGCCTCAGTGACACTGACAACAGCCATAACCATGGACACAAAGAACTTGGTGCTCTTTGGACTTTCAGCTTTGCTACAGCCCTTGTTCCTCTCCACCCCATGCAGTCCTTAGGACTCTTACACCTGCACCTCTTTCCTTGCTGGCTGTAGACCCTCTTCCATGTGGTGTCTCACCAGATCTGAGATGAGTCTGGTAATTGAGATTTTCTTGGTGGCCGTGCTCCTCGTAAGGCAACTCTGTAGGAATCTGGCCTGGTTCGTGGTGAGCAGGCACCACTGGTCGTATGGCATCCATGGTGGTGCCCAGGCCCTCCTCTTCCTCCTGGGCACTGCTCACTCAGCAGGGTCCCAATCTGCCCTGATGTGTGGAGCTCCTCTTCCTCTGGTGCAGGACTAGACTCTTCTCCTTGTAAATGTCAGGAGATTTCTGTAGGCATATTCATGCAGTTTCTCAAGTCTCCCCCACACTGACGCTCCATTCTGTCAGCTGTTAATGTCTGCAGGCAGACGGTTCAATCTTCGCATGATTGTGCTATCTCTGAGAAGAGAGCAGTATCAGGAGTTGCAGGCAAGTTTGGATAATACAGGAGTAACCAGCTGAATGGAATTGCAACACAGTCTCAGAAGGGTAAGGGATTGCAGGCTGCCAGATTCCACCTTTTCTGTGCTTTCTTGTCATGCATGCTGTCATTTTGTACAGAGCTGTGTCCAAAATGTTATGATGCTGTGCAGGGCAAAATTAGAAATGTCAAAGCCCAGCTGGAGCTCAATCCATCTATTACTGTCAAAGACAATCAAAACTCTTTATAGAAATACTTTAAAGGAGGATTAAGGAAAATCTTCATCCTTTATTGTAGGTGGGGTAAACATAGTGACAAGAGATGAGGTAAAGGCTGAGGTATTTAATGCTTTCTTTCCCTCAGTCTTTAGCAGCAGCACCAGTTGTTCTCCTGATACTCAGCCCCCAGAACCGGTAGACAGGGACATGGAGAGGACAAGAGGAGGACGCTTTTTCCCATTTGTTAACTCTCCCTGTCTCCTTCATCTCCCCCTTCTCTTCCAGGATACTCCCAATAGATCTGCAAAGCTTTGAGTATCCCTGGGATGGATACCAGCATGTTCCTATTGTTATGTCTCATTAATGTGTTTCAGCTTTTGTTTAACGTCAGACAATTATTTAAGAATGCCATGCAGAGATCTGTCCAGAGGCAGGAGAGTTTGGAGTGGCAGGGATTGAGGGAGGATATGGGCAGGTACCTATAGCATTGAACACCTCCAATGCTTTGAAAATTCACCCCTGAACAAGTGCATAATCCAAACAATCTAGAGAAACCCTTGAAAAAGTAGTGTGATCACCACAGCCATTCCAAAGAGACACAAATCAACATGCTGGGAGTTGACCTCTGCTTACTGAGCCTCAATTAATGCCACTTCAACCCCTGTGTTATGCCCTGCAACCACTCCAACACATACCAAAGGTCCTGCAGCCACTCCAACTATTGTGACAGTCCCAGCAGCCACTACAACTCCTCTGAAAGGCACTTCACCACAGCAACTATTGCGATGGGTTCTGCAGGCACTACAACACCTGCAACAGGCCCTGTAGCCACAACAACTCTTGTGACAGGCTCATCAGCGACTCCAACCCTGTAACAAGCCCTGCAGCCACTCCAGTTCCTGTGACACTCCATCTGTGACAGGCCCTGCAGCTAATCCAACCAATGTGATAGCACCATGTCTGGACCAGAGAACCAGCCTATGCCAGTATCAGTTGCTCCTCTAAACAAGGGAAAACAATGCTGAAAGTCAGGTGAAACCTACAGTGGATGAATTGGCTAGTCAACTCCAGCAGTGTGAAGAAAGTCTCTCTTCTTTCCAATGGGCTTCTGTCTTGTCTGTGGAGAAACTTTCTCAAGGGGCTCACCAACTCCAAGGGAAGGCAAGGGAGAAACTTTTCCAAGAGGTCCTACATCATAAAGAGAACATATCTCCTTTCCCTTTTAGTATGCCACAATGGATATCACTAACGCATTTTTATCCATCCCTTTGAGAGCACTGTGAAGGCCACAGTTCGCTTTCACTTCAGGGGTGTCCTATACACCTGGAATCAACTGCCCCAGGGGTGGAAACACAGTCCTGCCATTTGCCACGGACTGATACAGACTGCATCGGTAAAGATATTAAAGAGAACTGGCCCTAATACTGAGCCTCCTCCTGAGTGGCCTGTCCTCTTTTCCAAATGTCATAAACCCTCTTTTTCTCCCTGAGCTCTAGCCACAACTCTCTGTTCAGCCAAGCCAGTCTTCCACACCGGCTTGTCTTTGGGCACGTGCTGACAGACTGCTCCTGAGCCGTTAAGATTTCCTTCTTGAAGAGTGCCCAGTCTTCCTGTACTCCTCTGCCCTTCAGAACTGCCTCCCAACAGACTCTGCCAACCAGTGTCCTAAAGAGCTCACGGTCTGCCCTCCGGAAGTCCAAGAAAACAGTTTTACTGATCCCCCTCCTGACTTTGCCAAGAATAGAGAACTCTACCATTTCATGGTCACCCTGCCCAAGACAGCTCCTGACCACACATCTCCCACCAGTCCTTCTCTTGTTTGTGAACAGAAGGTCTAGCAGGGCACCTCCCCTGGTAGGCTCACTAAACAGATGAGTCAGGCAGTTATCTTCCATGCTCTCCAGGAATCTCCTAGACTGCTTACTCTTTTTGTATTAGCATTTGTATTTGTATTTGTATTTTGTATTGTATTTCCAGGATATGTCTGTGAAGTTGAAGTCCCCCACAAGAACAAGTGCTGGTGATTGTGCAACTTTTGCCAGCTGCTTGTAGAATGCCTCATCCATCTCCTCATCCTGGTTTGGCGATCTATAAGAGACCCCCAGCAGGATGGCCTTCCCAATGACCCTATCCCACTGGGGCTCAACGTTACCATTCTTAGTCTTGAGTTCTACAACACCAAAACCCTTTCAAATATAGAGAGCCATGCCACCACTCGTTCTGTGCTGCCTGTCCCTTCTGAAGAGCCTGAAGCCAGTCATTGCAGCACACTAGTCATGGGAGTGGTCCCAGCACCTTTCAGTGATGGCAGCCAAGTCATAGCTTGCCTTTTATTTCTTTGCTGTTGAGCAATGGCTAGAGCTATATTATGTTGGACATGCATCAATAAAATCTTTGTTTATGGCCCGGAGGAATTTGGCACTTGAAACATCACTCAAATGTCACCATGACACCTCCAATGTCACCCGGTGTCTGCATCTGAACAGCTCCCTCCTGGCCTCTGTCTCCATTCAATATGCTGGGAGCTGAGACAAGCAGCTTACATAGAGCTGCCTGGTTTGTGCCCACCTGAACCTAGGCAAGAGGAATCCCAACTCCTGTGGTCTTCTGTAAGGCATGGGAGAGTCAGCTAAGCCCCCTTCTAGCCTCTGAACTGCAAACAAGGTATGAGTTGCTAGGTTTGACTCAGCTGAAACCCTTTCCTCAACAGGGGGAAGGCAGATAACTCCCTGTCCTTGCCTGGGTGTTCTGCCTAAAACCAGGATATGGAAAAG